AAACTAATATTGCTACTCATGAAAAGACCAGTATTGCTATTGACATGGCGTATGCATATAATAAGGTACAGTATATGTCAAAAGCATCAGTGCAATATCAGACAGCACCCGTGAGAACAGCACAGTTACATTGTTAAGAGATTCATTCATGTCAAGCAGTGCGTGCAGGGCCTGTGAGCGATCCGTGTATCTTTTGGTCACTCATTTACGTTAGAAATTTTTTTTGTGATAACGGGATTTCCTTGAGACATATTTTCCTCATGCATGCATATCTATTTTTTGCTTGTTAGTTTGATTAGTGTTGATTTCAAATGCAATAAATATTTTTTGTATAAAACTTGTGGTAACAGTGTTTATAATTGGTGGGTGCGACTAAATTTTGGCTGATGCGCCTACATTTTTAAAGTGAGGAGCACTGGTGCTACCAAGCAAAAAGGTTAATTTCGAGCCCTCATAAACAACATCCAAAATGTTTTGGGATGAGATTGCATACTTACAAGGCCACAAAAAGGACAAAAGGAACCCCCTCCCTCTCCAAAACTTTTACTAAAATATTGAAATAAGTTCCATGCTGTCATAAATAATATGCTATCCTAAAATAAGTTCCATGCTCTCATTATAAATTTGCATTCTCTCGCACATACATTTTTCTTTCATCTCATGTTATTTTCCTTTTCAGTTTAAATGTTAATGCATTGTAAATGCTACTTCTGACGCATCTCAGACAGCTTCACATTTATCTGTCAATCGTTCAATCACATGTTAAAACAGAAGGTTTTAAAGTTTGCCGGTTACGTGCTACGCAAAACAAAATGACCTTCACGTATCTTCTCCCAGGTTCTCCAGGATGATCATGCAAAAGACATTCAAGAAACTGATTTAATAAGCAATGGTACTCATTACATGACTTATTTTTAGAAAGCAATCGTGATTACAATCAAGTGACAGTGGCGCTGGCCTTTGGCAAAACACTGCTAATGTAATAAATGTGCTTTTCTGGTTTGTTTGTGTTTGAAGACACTGTAAAAAAACCCCACCCACCCCCTTCACCCACCTCTACCCTCACTACAGCCAGCCATTTTCCACTTCGCCCCTCCCTCTGCTTCTTTTCATCCGTCTGTCTCTCTGTCTGTCTGTCTGTCTCTCTCTTTCCAAGAAGCTCCTAAAGCACTTTCATAATAGACATAAACCTGTCCAACAGCTTCACACCCAAAGCTTAAAAGAAGCCAGCAAGAGAGACGTCTAGATCTCTTACATTCTTCCTGAGAAGTGTTTTCAAACTTTTTTTTTTTCATTATTTAAGAAGTGGTGGAAGAAGCTGAAGTTATTATTTAAATAATTCTAAAATGCTGTCTTTTGAGACTTTCTCAGCATGCTCAACAGGAAATAAAGTCAATTGCACACACAGATGTAAATAAAGCAAAATAATGTATGTCTTGATCACTGAAGTAAGGCATGACATAGATTAAGAAAGACATGAAGAAACAAAACAAAAGAGAAGCAGCACCATATTTGGATTTATGGTTACTTGGTTACAAAGGAACCGCCCACAGCTGATTTTTCCATGACAGTGTGAGTGTGAGCGATGGCTCAATGTTGTGGCTGCGTGAACAGGCCTGTGTATGTCAGAGGCTGATGAAACACAGTTCATTTGGTTTGTTTATTTAAAAAAAAAAGTGTTATGAAACGCAAAGAAAATAGCTTCATAAGTAATATCAAATAAAATGTCAATCATGGTTGTATATAGAAGTATAAACTAGATAAAAACAACTAGTGACTACTGGCTTAAAGTGACTTGAGGAAATCCCAAATTATTATTTTTACTAGGTTTTTTAGTTTTTTGTGTTTTTTTTTTTTACTTTTTTCTAAAGATAATGAGTTTTAGTGTTATTTGAGTGCTTAAACTTATTTTATAAGGTTTCAAATGCAGCATTTCATATGCATGCATGTTTGTGTTTTTTATTCTTATCTGATCTTATATACTCAGCTTGGATGAGTTAAACAGCAAGCGCATAAGAAAAATCATTTGTGAAAAATATATATATATAGAAAAAAGATTAATCTTTTTGAGAATATTACAGTGTGACTGACAAAAACGTCAATAAAATATTAATCTCATATGTAAAATAAGAATAGCATTTCAAATGTTTCTTTTATGCAAGAAAATTAAATGCAATAAAGAATAAATACTTAAAACCTAATCAGTTTTAGTGAATTATTATTATTTTTTAAATCTAATAAATGTGGTCCCTTTAAGCTTAACACTTTTAATGCTGAAAAACTTCATAGATAATAAGAAAATAAAAGTATCGTGTTAATTTTTTTATTTTTTACTTTGATTAAAAATAAAAACATTCACAAAAGCAACATGATAACATGTTTTTTTAAACAATCATATGACAACCCTAACATGTAAACATTGAAATTTCAATTGTCATCACAGGACATAGGCCTTTATTTGAATACATACTATCAATAGTCGACTACATTTTTGAAGAGTCAAATGCATCCCTGGTGACAATTGGAAGTTTAGGGAAAGATTATGATTAGTCAACTTCCTGACAGTCATTTTCTCTGGATTGATTCATCCTGATTCATGGATCGTTCAGACAAACATACACAACTTGGATAATTGAGCTGGGAAACTGGAGATTAGCACAGATGTGCTGAGGAAATGCCCGCAAAAGATGTCTGAATCCTATGTTATCAGATCTGTTTATGCTGACTTTAGTCATGGTCTTACTCAGCAGAGATATAAACAGCTTTTTAAATTAAATGATTCAGAACTCAACAGACACATGCCAAGAGAAAATTCATTTGAAGTCCTCTGAACAACTCTATTTATCCACATGGACTCAAAGCGCATTCATAATAGTATGTTTAATGAGAATGTCTGTTCCTGGAAAATCAAATCCATGACCTTGACATTGCCAGCGTCATGCATTACCACTTGTGCTTCGGTAACACACGAGCTCTTTATGTCCAGCCTACTCAGTGCACTGATCGCCGGGTCAGTTTCTGTTCACATGAAGGTAAACAAAAGACTCATCAGAGATATGAAGTTTCATGTTGCAACAAAAGCCAGTAAATGCCACCTAGTTTCAGATGGATTAACCATCCAGACACAAAACTGGCTGAACATGTCGTCTATTTATGAGATTCAGACACAAAGACACTGATTTTGGGGGGATTTTTCCAGCTGGGATCTGCAGTATCGGGATTTCGACTCCTCCATTAGTCATCTTTGACTGACTAGGACAGTGAGTGTTTTTATGAAATCAAACAGCAACCTTTGGAAGTAATGTCAAAGTTCTAGTTTCCAGACACTGAAAAAGTTCCTATTTTTCATCTTTAGAAATTCACTCATACTTTAAAAACATCCCCACGTACATGTCATTAGGTTTAACTTACTCATCTCACCTTAACGCCTAAAAGACAAATATCTAGCGTAGTTGATAAATTTCCAAAGGAAGAAAAAAATCTTTCCAGCGAGTTTCAAAAGCACACAGATACAAGTGAAACTGAACAAACTTTGCCAGACTGGAAGCTTTTTGTCAGAAACAATGACATTTCGGTAACCCTTCTGATGACTTCGAAAAGGCCTATGGGTTGAGAATCCATATACATTGAACGACAACATGTGCTCTGATTTTAATGTGAATGTCAATGTGCCTTACATTTACCACTTTCACAATACTAAAGTTGGAGATTCACAGATAAGGAGATAAAAATAGCAGTAATATCTAATAAATAGTTTCAGTTACTGAGTGCTCAAGCATCCTCATCATGTTCATGCAATTTGAAGATGAAGAATCGCTATACATTAACAGGATCTTAAGCATAACAAAGCTGTATAATTAAATACAAAGAAGTTCCTTACTGGTACTCATAAACTCCTAATCAGTTTGAAGCAATATCAGTAGATAACAAGAAGCACAAGACCTCATGTCTGCTACTTGATAATAAAGCTGGTAATAAAACAGTGGTGCACAAACAAATGCCTCTCCTTTAAACTGAGACACAACCTTTTGTTATAACCTAATGTAATAGTTTGGTGATTTTTTGTGCAATGAAACTAAAATGTAAGGAACTTAAAACGTCTACTACATGCAGTCAGTTCAACTTAATATTGCTTTTTTGAAATACTTGTGTAAATTATGTGGGACTTTATTGTATATTTAGAAATTTTCAAAAATACTCATTACATCTTTGAACAGTTGTCACAGCACAGAGGCAAAGTATAATGATCTAGAGCAAACTAAAACTTAATTAATGTCATTTTTATTAAGAAAATCTGTATGAAATTGCTATGTAGTAACTATACAGAATTGAACAATGGATCTGCATACCCTAATAAAAGTCTTTCAATAAATCAGTATATTTTAATCTAACATTAAAACCAAGCTATTTTCACTGCTAGTTAATACAAAGATACGTTGAGTTCTTTAAAGCAGAACTAAAGATTATTAAACCAATAATTGTAAAAATGGAACCTTTTATTTGATATTATAATAAAGTTCACTATTTATTTGTTTGCTACACACTCTGAGAGGCCTTTACCATTCTATTGTCTGATAGAGTGTTTGCAACTTGAGATTACAAATAAACTTAATACAGTTCATTTTTACAAGCTTAAAGGTATAGCTTGGCCAAAAATGAAAAAAAAAAATCTCATCATTTAATCTTCATCATGACTTTCTTTCCTGAAACTAAAATATTTTGAAGAATGATGGGACCCATCAACTTTCACAGTGAAGAAAAATAAAACGAAAGCCACTTAAACAGCATTTTTCAAAATATCTTCTTTTGCTCAACAGAAGTAGGAAACTCAAATAAGTTTTAAACAAAAGAAGTGCGAGATGACAGAATTTTCACTATCCGTTTAACTATCTGGAATGGTTAAACATTTATGCAACAGGTAAATTTTAGCTAATTATCAGTAGGCTATCTTGAAAACTTAATGAAGTCTAAAACAAAGCAAGTAAGAAAACAGGACCTACCCCTGTTAGTTCATCGGGACTTGCGAACATACTGGGGGACAGACTGGTGGGTTCGATATCACTGCCTGTAAAATCATCTTCAGACTCCTCAAAGGACGAGGCAGATGATAATCCAGCAGAGGAAGAGCTGGACAGTTTCCTGTGGAACAGAGAGGGCGCAGGGGAGCCTCCACAGCCGCTGTCCGAGCAGGGCGAGTCCTCATCTGGATGCAGATCCAGCGAAAAGCCGCCAGTGCTCAGAGTCAAATCACTAATGCGAGGACAGTCCTGACCGCCACATAGATCATCGTGGGTCACTATTAGTTTGGGAATAATCCTAGGGCACGGGCTTGTGGCTTGTTGCTCCACTTCTCCACTCTGCCGACCCGACACGGGAGATTTTAACGTACTTTTGGTCATTTTATGAACGGCTAAGGGAGAAGAGCAGCTAAAGTCTACAAGAAAGTCTGGCGCGTTCAGACTCCGGGTCACATTTTCCTCCGAAACTCTGCCTGGAGTCACGGTACCTCCTTCTGACACTCTTTCCATGTCCCACGGCAAGACGCAACACTCATGGTTCTCCTCCTCCCGCACTCCTTTCTGTCCGCCTTGGGAATCCGAGACAGATCTCTCTAAATCCGTCGATCGACTCAGAAGAATGAAGTTTTCGGGCGCATGTTGATTACCGGAAGAACTCGAGTTTAAAATCAGTTTTTTCGACTCGTGGGCTCGACCATCCACAGAAGTCTTCTCCTCTTTATAATCGTCCCGCCAGCACTTCTGAACACTTGTCAAGTCCTTGGTTTTCATCGGATTGTCGTCTAACCGGTCACCGGTATGTGACGAACAAAAAGCTTTTTGCACGCGAGCTCGTCTGGAAGTCTCGAGTGCTGCTGCTGTGCTGTTGTTACAGCAGGGTGAAGGAGTGTTGCTGCTGGATGATGATTGGCCCATCGTGGATACCGTACAGCTCACTCACAGCCTTTTAAATGACACGCCCACTGCCCAGCGCTGCTTTAACCCTGTAAAAGATTGCCAAATTGAATAAATAGTCAGAAAAAAGCTTAGATTTTTAAATAATTATTGATCATTTGTATAAACTATTAAAGAAAAACATTTGCTTAAGTATTTTTAATCATTTTGTACAATATTTTATAGGCTGCAGGGCCAAAAATTTAAGTTCTGTTCACCCAAAAAATTACCCCCCCCCCACATAAAAAAAATCAAACAAAGAAAAAAAAAACAATTACTACAACACAATGTCACATTAAAGTCCGTGTGAAAGCAAAATGTGCAATGTTTGTTTTGAAAGCACACAATGCTATAATTACAGGCAAAATAAATCCACTGAAAAAAAAAAAACTTTTGTTTTGGTTTTCTAACAAAATCTGACCATCTGCTTTTGTTGATGGCTTGGACAAAAACACACTAAGCCCCGCCCCTCCAAACGCTTGTTTGATATGAGTGAAATAAGAGGAGGAGCACAAAAATAAAACCCCACCCCTACTCGATATTCATTTTCAGTTAAAAATATCATCATACTGAAATTAATGACTGCAACAATTAATCATGCAGGATATTAAGAACTGTGTTTCTCACAAAGTTTCTTTCTCTCTCTCCTCAGCTTAATTCATTGTAACTTTTTGCAGTCTATTCAACATTTAATGAACATTTTAATAATTAATTAATTTATTAGTTCTGACTGATAAGTACAGACCAAACAATTTCAGCAGTAATAATCAGCAAAAAGTTTGGCTCAGTGGCATTGTTTATGTTCTCTGCCTCCAATATGGCCGATTGATGATGCATCATGAAAATGCGAGACACAAGTTTATGCAGAAATTAAACAATTAAGATTGCAACAAAGACTACAACATGTGATGGAGTACCAAAAAAGCAGTCTTTTTTTGTCGTCGTAACAGGAAAACAGTGAATTAATTTTTTTATGAAGTCCTGGATCATGTAAACAAGAATTTGTTCACTTCATTCTTTCTTTTTTATCTACGCACTAACATCTCAATTTGACATTGGCTGTCCAGAAAGACTGAACCAAAAAAAAAAAAAAAAAAACTTTGTCCCGATGGATACATGGATAAGCGTGAGTATCTGTTTTTATTATTTTCACCATTGCTTTGTTTGTTATTCAGACAACATTGTTTGAAAAAAAAAATGCACACCCAAAGCTGTGATGTGGTCAGAGTTTTACTTTGTCTGTGTGGTTTCCTGCACACCTCAAACTCAATTCCTGGAGGGCCGCAGCTCTGCACAATTTTGCTCCAACCCTAATCAAACAGCTGATCCAACTAATCAAGGTGTTCAAGACTACTAGAGACTATTAAGAAGCTGTGAGTTGGAGCTGGATGGAGCTAAACTATGCAGAGCTGCGGCCCTCCAGGAATTGAATTTGAGACCACTGCCTTAGAATGTTCATCAGCCAATCAGAATCAAGCATTCAAAAGCCTTGTTTTATATGTAGACTTTAACTATAGTTTTAAATAAAATAAAATCCACAGAAGATGTCTTTCTTGGTTATGTTTTAAATTAACTCATAGTACAGGGTTGGTGAATACTTAATTTTAGGATCACATGATATTTGCAATATTTAATTTTTCATTCATTCATTCATTCATTCATTCATTCATTTCTAACTGCTTTTCCGAGGCCGGGTCGTGGGGGCAGCGGTCTTAGGAGAGAACCCCAGACGTCCCGCTCCCAAGACACTTCCTTCAGCTCCTCCAGGGGGTTCCCGAGGCGTTGCCTGGCCAGCCAAGAAACATAGCCCATTAAGGGTCTTCCCTAAGGCCTCTTCCCGGTGGGACATGCCTAAAACAGCTCCCTAGGTAGACGTCCAGGAGGCATTCGAAACAGATGCCCGAGCCACCTTAGCCGACTTCTCTCGATGTGGAGGAGCAGCGGCTTTATTGAAATCTCTTTCTAGGTGACTGAGCTCCTCACCGTTTAAGGGTGCGCCCGGCCACCCTGCAAAGGAAACTCATTTCAGCCACTTGTATCCAAGATCTTGTCCTTTCGGTCATGACTCAAAGCAGCTCATGACCATAGGTGAGAGTAGGAACGTAGATTGACTGGTAAATCAAGAGCTTTGCCTTTCAGTTCAGCTCTTTCTTTACAATGGATCGGTACATCAACCGCAGCCGCTGCACCAATCCGCCTGTCAATCTCTTGTTCAGTCCTTCCCTTACTTGAGAACAAAACTAATTAATTAATTACAGAATAAATTTTTCAGTGATACATATTGTGATATGGGGTATATTTTCACCAGATGATTTGAATAGCTCTATTTTAAAATGATATATAATTTTAGATTGTTTTGGGATGATATTGTATGTGAGTGCATCTGCATAAAATATAACAAACCAATCACAAACACTGTGTAGAGCACAATACAGTAGAGATACAAATAAAATAAACAGAGTTTTATAGTTTTCTGTGAGTTTAGTAGGTACACAAATTGAGTAATCAAATGTAAAATAACCCAGTATAGTCTTCATTGTATGTACTGTATAAGAATTTCATCTTTTCAAACATAAATTCTTGTTGATGAAAGGCTATATTGTGCAGGCCCATTTGATTCTGATTTGCTGATGATTAAGGTTCTGATATTCTGATAAGGTGTGCAATTATTTTCAGGGTACCGAACAGCAAAAGAACTGCACCGTTAAAGTACCATACAGCTAAAGTAAATCCATATCACCACACCCATTGGTTTTTATTATTTCTTTAACAGTCAAAAGTCATCAAATCATTGTTGTTCTCATCAATAGCCTAGTGGTTATAAGTGCCCAGAGTCACCAAAACAGCCCGGTGGTGCTCACAGCAACCTGCGTTTGATTCCCAGCTTGAGGGCCTTTGCCAATTCTTTTGCTCTCTCTGCTCCACACATTCCTGTCTCAACTCTCCTCTTTCCTATCTAGTAAAAAAGTTAAACCTCCCAAAAAAAAATTAAAAATCAAATAAAACAAAATATGTGTCACAGTGGTACAGTGGTAAGTACGATCCTCAAAACAAAAAGCCCCAGCTGAGTCAGTTGGCATTTCTGTGTGGAGTTTGCATGTTCTCCCCATGTTTGCGTGGGTTTTCTCCGGGTGCTCCGGTTTACCCCACATTCCAAGGACACTTGGGGTGAATTGAGTGGGCTAAATTGTCCATAGTGTATGTGTGTGTGTGAATGTGATTTTCAGTGAAATGATCTTGCCAGTCTCTAAGCGAGCAGTCTCCGGCCATTTGTTTCGACAACACTTAATCTTTTAATCGCCCAACAATTGCACAACACTATTTGTTCCTATCTGTCAGCTTGTCCTGCTTGTTTGTACTTAAACACTGCTAAACTAACTTGGACTTGTCATGGCGTCTGTATATTGCAGGTCTCTGGTGATTTGAAACACTTCTATCCTCATTTGTAAACAAAACATAATGCTTTGGGGGAGATGTGTCAAAACCGTCCTACACACAAAAGTGTTTTGTGGAAAAAAACCCTATCATGTCTTGAAATACAACATCTGAACAATGTCTTTAGGTGTGGTAAGCATATAAGCGGAATACTAAAAATAATGCATGCGAGGTGTAACTCCACTTCACTTTGTTGCCGCATTACAACCTTGGGAGTCCAATCTGCATAATTTTGTAATCATTCAACATATGGTGAGATGTGTAAACAACTATATAATACTAAACAAAGGAGCAGTTTAAAACAAACAAACAAAAAACTGACAAAAGTCATAAAATACAGCAATGCCTTTAGGTGTGGTAAATTTAGTAAAAGTGGAATAATTGACTCCAGTTTTGAATAATTAGTAACCACCCAGGGTGTGCATTATTTAATAGTAATTTATTGTCGCAACTTGTTGTTTCTTGCTTAAAATTGAATAAATACTTGTCAGTACAGAACTGTGCATTTGGTCCTCAAAACTGTGAATTCTAACAATTTCTTTTGTTCAATTTTAGGGCAAAAAAATGTTTTATTTCATCTTCAATTCCGATTTGCTATATTTTTTGTTTTTATTATTATCCTTTTTTATTTTAATAATGTTTAAAAACATTGCTTGTAATTATTAACAAACTGTTTTGAGTTGACATAAAAAGATTTTCCACTATTTATGTTTTATACGCACTCACTGGCCAGTTCATTAGGTACACCTGTCCAACTGCACGTTAACATACATTTCTAATCAGCCAATCACAAGGCAACAACTCAAAACATTTAGGTATGTATACATGATCAAGACTATCTGCTGCAGTTCAAACCGAGCACCAGAATGGGGAAGGAAGGTGATTTAAGTGACTTTGAACGTGGAATGGTTGTTGGTGCCAGGCTGGTCTGAGTATTTCAGAAACCACTTGTTACAACTGAGTTATGCAGAAGAGCATCTCTGAAATCCCTTGATTTCTGCTGCAACATTCAGATAGTAGTGTCAGAATTTGGCATCAACACCATAAAAGCATGGATCCACTCTGCCTTGTAATAACAGGTCAGGCTGGTGGTGGTGGTGTAGGTGTAATGGTGTGTGACATTTCCTTTGGGCCCATTAGTACCAATTGAGCATCGTGTCAATGCCACAGCCTACCTGAGTATTGTTGCTGACCATGTCCATCCCTTACTGACTGCAATGTACCCATCTTCTGATAGCTACTTCCAGCAGGATAACATTTATTTATTCACTCCTTTAAAAAACATGTACACATAGCCGTACTTCAATTGCTTAATAACACAATCAATATTAATAAAATTATCAAAGTTTAACCCAACTACAAAGGAATATTGTACTTGTATAAATCACACCCCTTACACAAACATCAATAAATGTCACTCCATAGATCAGTATAAACACATGTTTTTATTAAACAAACAAGGTTATATAGTTTAATAAGTGACACATAATCGAGTCCAACAATTACCAAAAGTACCCGTCTTCAATAAAAGTGCCCTATAAATCATAAGGGAAATGTTTAACTAA